TGTCGCATAGATAGAATGTATATTTATAGTCACATATTTATTTTGAATAATCTATTTTTAACATTTCTATTTCTACCATTTCTACTATTATATATATTTTTCTTACACGTGTATATGCTGTGCGTTATTTAAAGTAATCGACAGAACTATTAATCTTATTTTAGGAGTTCTATTTTTTCTATTTTTCTTACACGTGTATATGCTGTGAGTTATTTAGAATAATTGCACGTTTTTTATGTCTCCGTCGTGTCGTCGTGCTGCGTGAGTTTCAGAGTTTTTATATTTTTCTATGAGTTTATTGGTCCTTTGAGCCTTTCTATTTTTCTACCGGCTGTTGTTTTTATCCTGTAGCTGTCGTTTTTTGTACATGATTTCTATCTATTTATTTTATAACTATGTGTAAGGGAGGTTGGGACACTGGGTGTGTAGGGAGAGTTGGGCCCATAAAAGACTCTTTAACCTACCGCCCCGGTTCTCAAGGCTGGGCACCCAGGGTCCTACCTCTTTCTTTCTGTTTATATGTTATTGTCTGTGTTTTTGTACGCTTGGGTATGTTATTGTCTGTGTTTTGTGTGCTTGGGTGGGGGAGGTTCTTTCTTTTCCTCTGAGCTAGTATGCTATAAACATTTTTTTTCATGTTTTTGCATAATATCCCTGGCGTGAAAGTAGGTTAAGTTTTGACCATTGTGTGCAGTTTGCAATGCACATTCGAATTATATGCATAATTCATGTTCGAATTTTTGCAGCAGGTCACAAGTGTCATGGGAATAGCGTACACAGTTTCATCTCCATTAGCAAATTCGAAAAGTGACGAAACAGCCTGAGGCTACTTGAAATATTTTGAAAATGTCATGGAAATGATGTGAAACACAGGTGTATCAAGTTGCATCTGAATACCATGCAACTTTACAAATAATATGTAAGTGTCACGGGGAATTTGAAGTACAAAGTCATATGCATATGAACTATTTACATGCCTAAAACTTTCATGGCTTTACTTCGTGTGACTTGAGATAAACACAACCCCCGATCTTATCCCCATAAACGTTTAAATCATATCCACCTCTAATTACTACCGGTGATAATCAGTTCAAAACAGGTGGAGCTACTAGTAATTATAATGAAAGGCAGTTTGCATGATGGCTAGGTATATACCCTTTCATACTTCTACAAGTTATAAATGTGGCTTAATCGTAGGTTAAAGAGGGTTGTTCCGACAAGGCAGGCTGGGCACCTATGCCTAGGTCTGCAGATCACAGTATGCAGCATCCACAGGTTCCCAGAGGTCACGCAGAGGCGCATGCACACTGATTATCACTTGTCGGTCAGTAACGCTCTGGTAACCGTTGGAGGCAAGCGCTGTGTAGCTGGGAATCTCTGGTGATCGTTCTCTCTGCTTTCCCACCCTAGCTAACAACACTTCACGATTGGTATCCCCACTATCTCCAAACCAGCCTCACTGGATGGTGATATATCTGGGTGAGTCCTGATAATACTACTCCTTGGCAGAGCCTCTCAAACCTCCAAGTGACCCCAGGGTTTGCGTGCCCCTGGATAATTCTAGTAATGGCAGTAGATAGCCAATGGAAGCAGCTATAAAAGAACTAGCCCCTAGTCATATTACAGGAAGATTAGCCCGCATTCCAGCCAATCACGTAGGTTGGGTAGTGTCATCAACAGACAAATTAATGAAACTAAAAACACCAAGCACAATACTGCTAATATTGATCCACTGGGCTACACTGTCCATTAACACATACAGTACACGCCAAAAAAGTTCCCACTACTGTACCGTAGTACGGTCACACTGTAGTAGAACTACGGTCTTGCTACGCCGTAACAACGCCGTACTACGGTGGAAGCCGTAGACCTGCTACGGCGCAGTACACCGTAGTTTAGATACAGTCCTCTACCAAGCAGCGTTGCCCCATGCCAGGAGATCCACACGGTGTTCACACAGCGAGGCGATCGATGGGCTGCTCTTGCCATGTTGATACGCGGTTTAGAGGGCGCGGTCGCACGTGCGCATTTCACGTCAGCGCGCTCAGCGGGCGCAAAGAAGAGCGAGAAGCGATACCAAACAGCAGTAGCAATGCTAGACACGACTGCGCTACAACGCTAGTTTTCTTAGCTTACTCTCAGCTTTAGAAACAACGCTCATTGCTTGCTAGGCCTTTAGCTGCCACCGTTTACTTTACTACGGTGGGCCACACCCTCGCAGTGTACCGCAGCTACGGTGCTCTACGGTCGACCGTAAATCCGCTGTATAAGCACCGTAGAACATTTTGCTACGGTATCACTGTACTACGGTGGCGTAGTGGGAACTGTTTTTTGGCGTGTACTGTAGTCCTTTATTTCCTTTTTCAGAGTCTGACATGAGCAGGCTACACTAGCAGATAGCATTTTAAGTGTCACAAGACTTAACACTCACCCTCCCTATTAAATGATTATGTCACAACGGTGCGCCAAAAAGCAGAATGCGAAGTAAGCAAGTAGTAATTTTTTTGGCTTCTTACTGGTTTTAATCCCATCACTTTTGAATGCAGTGTTAGTGTTCTATTTTTTCTGACAGGCTTCCAGCATGGCAGGAGAAACTATCCACAAGGACATACACACTTAGAAAGAAGAACAGTTACTATCGCTGCACAGGCATGTTGAGAGCTAATGAACTATACTTGTATACCTTGGTTTCCATCTATAGGATCAGGTTCCCACAGATCAAAATCTTGATCCTCACTTTTATGCTCATCAATGTCATCCTTATTCAGGGCCTACAAAAATAGACACAAACACCGACATCTGAACTTGTACATGATAATGTCGTGTTTCATGTTCATGCATGCCACAGTATATGCAGGAATTTTTTTACAACCAACAGTTTTGCCAAACTATCAACGTAGAGCAAAATTAACAAAGATGGTACACAAGCTTGCAAATATGGAATTGATAAGAGTGGTGCCCAAGGTTTAGGAGCACACTTAATGTAAACATAGCTGTTGTGGCATGTAAGGTTGCTTCTTAACTTAGTACGGTAGTACTTAGTATGATGCTTCTTGTTCAGTATGAAACCAGTTTGTTTGACACATGACAACAAAAAAACAAGAATTCTAAAAGTGGATATTCCTGAAAACATCGATGACTAATTGACTGTTTAAAGTAATATTTATCCACATGTGAATTTTTACCATATAGTTATATGTCAGAAATGGGATCTGATACAAAATTATGGTTTTTAAAAATAATTATTTGCCATCACTATAATAGAAGGTACTAAACCACAAACATTCATGTGATGCGGCATAAACGAATGATTACGATGATGGAGGATATAGGGATGCGTCAAAACATCAGAGCTACACGACACCATCCTTAATCTTTGATTCATAGGCAAGACATAGGGATGGTGTAATGTACGTAGCTTTGTGTGCTTAGCTGTGTAAAGATAGAGAGATGGGGCCATATGGTTTTGTGTGCTTAGCTGCTTAACATCCCTTGTTTATTACTTCTTCATGTTTTGACGCATTCCCTACATCCCCTTCAATTTGAAGAAATGATTTTTACACATCTTTCCATTATTTTTTATGAAATAACAACACAAAGGTGTAGTAGCAATAGACACCCAGTGTGTCCAATGCCTACGCGGCTCTCGCAAAGTTGTTTTAATGCAAAGCCCCTCTATAACAGCGCTTCTACAAGAGTTTACCAACACAATGAAGGTACTTCCCACACCTGCTGTGCTCTGTGAAATGTGTGTGCATGCGCACACATCAGGACACCCCCCTGACTGATTAGTTAGTAGCATATGGTGTCCTTCAGTGTCACTATTGGAAGAGTTCACGAAACAGCGCACAATCAACATTCCAAGCCATTCGCACATGGAGCTATGATGTAATCAACTATCATAGCTGCAAACGAAATGCCTCTGGCTGGTGCTAAGGCGGGCTAAGAACTTTCTTGCATGTGCAGATGCCATAGCTTGTACAATAGGAAACCTCGTAGTGTGGCAAATGCCAGTGTGCCATTCCAAAGGAGGTGGGCAATAGAGAAAAGCCTCTTACTTAAGGCGATTCTTTGTAACTGAAAACTTGTTGGTCTTCGTCGCATGATTCATCTGAGATAACGCACCCCGAAGCTCACCTTCATACAGTGTCGCGAAAACTGTACAGTGCGCCCCTATTAATTTTGTGTAAGTAGCTCTATTTACGTAGCTCTGCAAACATCCAAGGTGGTCTGTTACATGAGATGGACTCATGACTGTGTCTACACAGCGATTTGGCTGAGAACAAAAGAGCTGAAGCAAATTAATATACATCGTAGTCTATTTATGCAGGTAAGCAGAAAATGCTGAAATTACACAAGATCAACTTTCTACGCCTTTTTCTGAAGTTTTACAATGCTTTATATCCGGAACATTCTCCCTTCACGCAAAGAAAAACCAGCACACTGAGGGTAAATGCGTCGAATCGCATTCCACTGAGCGCAATTTGGTTACATATGAAAATTGTATCTTGTCCAACTTCCTCTGGTGCCAAGACAACAATTACACAAGGAATTGAAAGCATGCAGAGTTCATTCATACTGCAGAAAAGGGCCTGGGTGAGAGTAATAAAGCAGAAATACAAAGAGGTACTCATGACTGATCAAGCCAACAGACAGAGCTAACGCATTCACAGGGAGGTGCGGACTGAACGAGTTAGTTTCTGGGAGGCGGACAAAGTGGACAGGTCTCTAGACTAGGGTACAACCAACTGTGCAAAACTACAGGTACGTATCTACCTTTATCAGGTTTCTAGCTACGGATAGGTATCTACTTATGGCGTGCCGAATGGGTGGAAATGGCGTGCTGTAAGTGTAACAGAACTGGCTCCTGCTACCGACATGCCTGCGTAATGGATGAAAAATCATGTGAAAACTTTCTACCAGGAACGCTAGGGAACACTGTAGAAATAGCTTGGTAGCCAGCGCCTGTGCCTCCAAACACTGCGGACAGATTTGTCAGCCGTGTCCTTTAAAGGGTAAAACCACTGATACCGTCTGTCCCTTCTGCAAACGCCTCACGCCCTAGTGTGCACCAGCTAAAAAAAAGTGGTCAACCAGTAAGAAGGTAACCGCTATCAGGAGCATTGCTACATGGTGGAAGGACATTGGCAAATATCTCGGCTATTCGGAACCGACTCTTAACATAATCAAGCAGAGAGAAGGTCATAAGGGGGAAGAGGCTTGTTGTGAGGCCTTGTTCCAGCTCTGGTTAGAAGGAAATCAAGCTTCGTCGTACCTTCTCTTAGATGCTCAGGAGAACATCAATTCATTGACCTGGCAGAAGATATTATTCCTAGTGAGGATAGGGGAGGGGTGATCTGTCTCGTATATGCAAGCTGAAACAGGGTATGCGATATTTAATACCTTACTTACTTCAACAGATCCAGTGATCAAAGGAGTCAAAATAGTTACTGAGAAAACGCTAGCCGTTAGTCCGAAAGGCCCACTGACATACAGCTGGGATAAATATGGGTTTGGACTCATATCCCTGCTGGCACCTTCAGTGAAAGTGAACCAGTGACGCTGTGTATCCAGGCCAGCCTCGGTGGAGACTATCAGCTGCCCAGGTGATGATGTCCTCATCAGCGGAGTCTACTCCCTCTCCCTCAACCCTCCTGTGGAGAAATATCACAAGGAAGTGTCCCTTCCCATCCAACATTGTGATTCTGGTGACGAATCAACCCTCTCTTTCATTGCTGCTGATTCTACACGAGACAAACCACCCTACTACATCTTTGAGCAACTAAAAGGAGGAAACTTCTCGGACTCTAGGGATCATGGAACCATTGAATTCGACAATTCTTCATTATCTGTAAAAGATTCACTAGATTACACTATTCACACTTACTATGTCCCTGTGAAGGATGTGCCCAATGCCTATGTTGCACATACCGCTGTCACTTAAAACACAAAGATAGTAATGGAGGTAAGGTTATAATTTTAATCCTCCATCTGCATACTATGTCCAATACATTCCAGGAGGTGGAAAAAGTGTTTCGTACTAGAAATGCCGAAGAAGGCCCTACAGTAGCGATGGTACGGTTTCTTAACGGGGTAAAACATATAAGTTTGGATATTCCAGATGAAACAGAGGTCCATGATGGCTGGAGACTCTGCCCTCTATCATCTCTCTATGTGAGTGTGTGTGTGCATTGCAACATGTCAGTCACTGCTTCAGTGCTTGCCCTCAGATTGCAAAGAAAATCTGGATATGTACTGCATCTAGGGAGACAATTATCGTCAATCCTGACACTGTCCCCTGAATCCCTACAAAGGGAAAACCAACATTCACATGGGGAAACTAGTAGGGAGGAGTTTGTCTCGATCCTAGACGCCACCTACGCCGAAGTCGCACACTGGAGACGTAACACTTTTAGTGTATCGTTTTGGTCAGGAGGGAGGAACTTCGTGACAAAATGTCTCAGATGTATATCTTGTCTTTGGCTCCCTTCCCTGGAAGTTATCACTCTTAAGGCAGCCGTAGTCCTGCCCATACTACTACTCCAAAACCTAGCAAAGGTTCAAAGACCAAAGAACACATCAGTTGGCTCGAAAGGAGGTTGATAACCTGTTCCATTAACAGGGTAGTGAGGGAAGGCAGAGCAATACAAAAACGGCTTACGGCTCCACAAGTTTGGCCCTGAAAAGCTGAAAAGTTGCAGGTTCTTCAAACTTATGTTCATGTGGAAGTGTAAAGCAAAAAGGACAGAGGATTTCTATTGTTTGTCCCCCTAATCTGCTGTTGCTACTTTACTGGCTGCGCAGACATGTGACCCCTTTTACACTTATTATATTCCACATTACAGCCACCCAAAACACACGAACTATGGATTAGGGATGTAGTAAGCGGAAGAATAAGAGGAAAGAGTCCTGACCAACACTTTCACTGGTTGAGGTCTAACCTGCCCTCCGTTTGTCCCCAAGCTGACAAGAGTGACTATGATTCAGTATCAGTGATGAAATGGCGACAGAAACTGAAATAAAAGCACTAAAGTGCAAACCCTCAGCGAACTGCGCAAGCACGGTACCACTAATTGATGGGCAGGGGCTATAAGGCGTTTACTCGTTGTCTCCCGCGGGTAGCTCACAGAGAGTCTGACAGGGGCTAGTGACAATAGTAGATAGCTTGCGTGAGTTGATACACGCCCTTCGTTGTGACTTCTTGTGCCTTCAAGATAAAACAGAGTGAGTGGACCCGGTCGAGGTATGCCTGTGCTAATTAGCATATTGGCTCGTTCACTTGGTCTTCATGCCATAACTCTCGAACGCAGCACTTTTACGAAAATCGCCATTTTAAAAATGAAGCCAGTGCCCGTTGATGTCGCTTTTTTATCTGTTTGTTGCGCGTGGTGGCAGAAAACGTGGTAACAGACGAACAGACAAAACCAAGTGCTGTAACCCTCGCTGCGCATGCGCACCGAGGGTAAATGAAAGAGATTATGTTCTCAGTAGCAGATCTAGTGTGATCAGCTTAAATCGATGGTACAGAGATGTGTACGAAGACTGTGCGCTATCTCTGATGTAACCTTCGACCAACATAAACAAGTTCTCAGAGTTTAAGCGATATCCCTTCGGGGCACCCGAGGAAAAATCAGCTTCAAGTATGAAGCTTTCTCCGTTGGCAGGGAATGATGGAATTACATTACATGCTGGACCACTTACAATTTTGCCAATGTTTTTGTAGTATACTCGCATGATTCTCAATACACCTACCAATCACAATACAAACAGTACACAACCTACTTGGGCTAGCTCACTGTCAGTTTCATTAGTAAGACTGGTAACAATGCACCGCACAGTGTCCTCTCTGCTGAAGAGATAATCCCTGACAGGTGTACATACTCTCTCGAGTACCACCCCCGTATGATCAACCAATCGAAGTGCCTGAAAAAAATTAGGAGCAAAGCTGTAACATTTATGCTACTACAAATCTTCTCAGACAAAAACGTTCAATAGAATTGTGTGTACTACAGAGAATGTGCAAGGTTAAATTTAGAAAAAGGTGGCTAATTCTTCTATTACACACTTTGGTTTAGTTCAATGCTCTAAACTTAGCACGATGTACTCCCTTTAATGAAGCTCTACTGCATAACCCTCTGTGTCATGTATTGCCATTTTTGTTACCCACACTAGTAATTAGATGAAACTCCAGTAGGTTAAGCACACAAACTGCATACTCAAATGCACATCCGCAAGCGGAGTGTAATGGATCTTCTTAGGGTCTGCTGCCATCATTTAGGAAACACAGTGTGCATTTCCATACCAAGACAAAGCTGTTTGATGAAAATTGTTTTATAGTAGAAAAGCCATTGTATAATGCAATGCCATCAGGCAGAAGAGTAATGTAGCCTGAGAGAGTTAAACTCAAAAGATTTAACCCTCATTATGCATGATAATGACTTCTTTCTCACTCTTCTACTACTTTTTCTACTCTTTTTTTAGCGCCAAGCAAAGCATAATAGTATCAAATAATGCTAAAATTATGGCACATTGCTTATTAGAGTGCCAGGGAGTGCAGGTGAAGTGACATGGCTACACACAACATTCTTGAAAGCTCCATTCCAATGGAGCTTAAGCCCTAACATTACTGGCCATACTTTGCTTAAAACTCGACCAAAAAGTGGCCCGCGGCGCAAATGAAATACCACTATACCCATTTTAGTAATTTCACACAACAAAATATATACTGGGTGTGCAAATTACACTCATGCAAATAAGAACTTTCTGACATAGTATGACAACTAGCATTGTTTTGGCCGATATTCCTAATAGTGACACAATATCAACTGTCAGTGTCACGTCATTATTGCTATAACAAATGAAAAAGCACTAAAGTGCAAACCCTCGGCGAACTGCGCATGCGCGACACCGCTAATGCTGGGCTATTACTCGTGATCTCCCACTAGTAGCTCGCGGAGAGTCAGACACGGGCTAGCTACAGCAGTAGATACGACGTGGGAGTCGATACACACCTTCGTTCTCACTTCTTGTGCCTTCAAAATACACGGAGAGAGCGAGACAGACACACACGACAACTACAGCAACCTTCGCTGCGCATGCACGCGGAGGGTTAACTAAGCCAAACAAACCTTATGGTAGTATTACTATACATGCAATGTCAATGAAAAGCACTAAAGTGCAAACGCTCGGCGCTAAACGCGTGAGATGTATGCTGGGCCATGCGTCATCGACGGAGCCAGTAACACGAGTCTCGCTGTAACACAGGGTAGTTGCATTAGCGGTCAGAGGCTCTCATATTTGCTTTATTCAATCTATCCGCTCTTCTGTGATTAAATGCTCTCGCCAGATGTTTGGAAGGCATGGCTGCATCCACAAACTGCTCGCCACCTTAACTATTATGCTGCATTGCGGACATACCTTGGCTCAGCATGTTTATCCATTGAGAACAGAGATCAAAACTGATGGAAGCCCGTAGATCGTACAACCAAAGTGGCGTAGTGCATGCTCCAGCCAAAATTGACATGACGCGTGCGCGCTATGTAGCCTGCCGGAGAGATTGCACGATCAACCGCACGTAGGCTTTTTCGCTTATTTTCACGCCATATCTCTGGAACGCAGTCGTTTCAGGAAAATCGCCACATTCGTATCCATCTTCTCGTTGTTCACAACCCGTTGGTGCCACTCATTGGCCGCCTCGTAGCATGTAGTGCGAGAACTCGCGCGATCGACCGCACGTTGGCTTTTTCGCTTATTTTCACGCCATATCTCTGGAACACAGTCGTTTCAGGAAAATCGCCACGTTAATATCCATCTTCCTGGTGTTCACAACCGGTTGGTGCCAGCGAAAATTGATGGGCTCGTAGCCTGTAGTGCGAGAACTCGCGCGGACAGGCAAACAGACAGACCGACAGACCAAGTACCGTAACCCTCGCTACGCATGCGCGCCGAGGGTTAATAAATGTACCCTGCAAACAGTGATTGGTTAGAGTGCACACTGTCACACACTGTTATTTAACACATGCCTTGATACACTGCCTACACATAGCATGCATTTACACTAAAATTACACCTACAAATTGATACCTTTATTGCAGCAACATACTGGGTGATGATATCAGCTGTATTCACACCAGGGTGTAGTAGACGCATCCTAATACTGCATGGTGTGAGTCGTACGTATATCACATCATAAAAGAGGCAAATATAGAGGAACATTTTGCATGCATTAAACTGTACTGAACCTGGTATGGAACACACATCTATATTATATGGTGGCCCAGTTGCAGGAAAAGACAAGTACTGCAGCTATGAGCATGATATGGCTCAAGTATTTTAAGCTTGCGGAAAGACCTCCTGACTTTAAAACCACTCCCCAAAACATACCAGTTGCTGCCGCGAACAGCAAACGTGATTGGTGTCAACAAGCATGGTGATTAACAGGGGTCGCGGGTAAGCTAGCATGCAGTTGTACTGCTGAGTAATAAACCTTTATGCAAAAGTCTGAGTTAAAGTAAGGAACTACATTCTTTAAAGAAGCAGCCTATGAATTCTTACTCGACAACATTCATGTCTCTAAAGAAGGCTTATGTTGGCGAGAGAGGGAGAGAAGTGGAGATACAGAAGTGCAAAAGAAGTCCTCACTGCTTCCTAGGGGAAGATCTCCTAGTGGGGCAGGATGTGACCGGGTGTAACCCATGACAGCCGGAGGTGAGGCACACGTGACAGCAAGGGCAGTCGTCCCGGGAGCACCTCCCCCGGTTGCAATTGCGGCAGATCTCCTTTGCCTGGGTCTGTTTTGTGTTTTGGGCTAGCCGTAGTGACCCTGGCCGGGGATGGAGCCGCTGTACGGAGCCATCTGAGGGAGGGGAGGGTGGGAGGGTAGGTGGGCAGGGGTACTGCTGCCAGTCCAGGTATATGCTGGGGGAGAGAAAGGAGGCTGGTAAACCAGTGAGGTTGCAGTGGTGGCACTGGAGACAGAAGACTGCGGGGCTGCCATGGATCCCAGCAGCGGCGGGAGAGTAGGGGTGGAGCCAACGAGAGAGACCTGGCCAGAGTGCAGAGAGGACCCAGTGGCGGTGGACTGCGGTAGAGTTATATACCACGGTAGTGGATGGAAAAGGGGGAGGGGCTGGGGCAAAGGCAGTGGAGGACGCGGCCGCCGAAGGAAGGGTGCCAGAGACGGCGGGTGTTGGGGGCAAGCCAATGGAGGCGGTCTGCGCGAATCTTACGGCCTGCTCTGAACCAGCGTTGGCGGTGGCTGCGGAAAACGTGGGGAGGGGAGGTAGCTGGAAGGGGAGGTAGCTGGGAGCGAAGGGTCAAAGTTGGGCAATCAGAGACGATTTCAGACAGGCAGTTGGGAGACCTTTGTCCCTGCATATCTGAGATCTAATTTCGTGGCCATATGTTGCAAAGAAGAACTTTGAGTGGCTTTAGCGGGCAGAACACGCTGAAAACACTGCGATACACGATAGTGTGAGCGCTGTTGCACTGCACGTCTATTTGTATGGGCGTGCTTGACTGCCTACTTCCGTTTTAACCGGAATTACCCATTAATTACCAGAAAAGGGGCACTTTTCCTGCCTTAGAACAGGTCCTTACTATCCCAGACTAAAATGAGTGTAGCTAAGAGTAAGAATGTTGTAATGAATATAGCCAAAGGATAACAAAAGTTAAAATAGAGGAAGTTTAGCTAATTGGATCACATCCTTCATCAACAATGCAAAAGAAAGCAACCAAGGGTGTTCTGTGGACCACTATTTGGTGATTTTTACATCTACAAGTTACGCCATAATTTGTAAGTCATACTTGAGTAAATGTTGCTGTAAAAAGGTTCCTTCAAACATACCTATGAGGTATCGGTTTGTTTCATATCATGCTTGAACAACAGCCTTCAGGTAGATCCTAACAGTACCAGCGCCTTGGTAACTGTACGTGTCATAAAAGTGTGGTAGAGAAGCAAAAGCAACGCAAACAAGTGAACTACACCCAGGGCAATTCTAAGAACAACTGCTACGGGTGAGATTCGAACTCCGCAGTCTACTGGGCTAACAGCTGGCAGGGGTTGAAATCTTCAACACAACACAAGACAAATGCAAATCTCAAACCAATATGCTATGGCACAGTATACTCTTACACAGTGTGTGGAGCAGACCGGGGTAATTAAACCACAAAAAACACCAAACTCCAAACTTAGTTTATATCCATGTGTCAACAACAAGGTTAGGTAGAAAGGCGAAGGTAACACAAACAAGTCAACTACACCCAGGGCAACACAAATCTCCTCCCATCAAGAACAGTACACACACTTGCAATAGCTTGCAGTGAATGTCCAAAAGCAATCACCTGTCTTATTATTACAGACAATGCATAGTGACCTTTTGTCATTTTAGCCATTCCCCATGAACAGCCTGCCATCTTTATTGTAACAGCGAGAACAACCTGACTTGTCCATAAACTTCCCTGCTCAATATACATTCTTGCACTCTCACATACCTGAACGTGGTATATTTTCATCAATGCCAATCTACTCACATCAATCCTCGATGCGAGCATTTTTGGAGTCACACTACACCTGCATTTGCTCACTAAAACTCTGTAGCACCAGCACAGGTCACTTACGGATTCTAATAATCTACAGATATTCTTATGCAAACCTCAGATTTACTTAGCAGTCCAAGGATTGTATATATGATGGTTCAGGATCCAGAAGTCAGCAAAAGCACTCGGGCTGCACCTATCTTTCTGGTCTTTTTGTCACTCACATTGTTGGCAAGGCTTCTATACTATGATTTAGGATATCCAAAAACATCTCTGGTCGGACAAGAAAACATAATAATTCATCTCTTGAAAAAGAGGCAAAGTCCCTCTTAAGCAATGTCCCATCAATAAACTTTGAGACCTGAACAGGTTTCTTCCTCATCCTTTTCAAGATTGATGGATTGTCCGCAGTCCGGGATATAATGCATCTGAAGGACGCACATTTCATGGGCACAGTCATAGAGAAGTACCTATCGTTCCAATGGGAGAAAATATGCTTCTACTTTACCTGCCTCCCCATTGGCCACTAAACAGCACCCTGGACCTTTACAAATTCACACATCCAGCTTCTAAAAGCCCAATTGTGTGAGAATGATAATTTAGCTGGACAACATGCTCTTTCTTCACCAGCAGAAGGAACGCTGCTTTCTACAACCGCAGAACTTGTAGTTTTTGTTAAAGTAAAACGGAAATCTCCCCAATGCTGAAGAGTTTCCTGATAGAGATGGCGATCAGTCTTCCATTGAAGAGAGTAAATTCAACAGCAGGAGAAACCATGAATCCTGGTTCTATCACAGGAATGATGTGTGGTGTAGGGGGACCAAACATTTCACCCTTTCTCCCACATCGAACATCGAACTGGTTTTGATGATAAATTGACAACCCAACTATTTAACTAGCTGATAAATCCTTTCTTTCTGTCGTGTTTTATATTGTTCTCTTTATTTTCGAATTTTATCTGTGAATAAGCTAAATGATCTTCCTCGACTAGTGAAGACCATTGAAGGTTGCACTATGATATTGTTCATAGCACCATCGAGGCAAGATTTCTCCCTCTATAGAGGCGGTGCGTAGACAATACCGTTCTTTAAACCGCTAGAGGCTGAACAGTTTTAGAGTGTATAGAAGGTTTTCTCATTCTGTGGTCTGCTGAGTTCTTAAATGAGCTTTCATTTTCGCCAACAACAACATCAGTACTCAGTCAAGCATTTTGCTTTCAGAACTGTGCTTTACTGAAGGGTTTAGCAAAGCAAAGCAGAAAACCTCATGTACCCCGAGAGGTTTGTTTATCCAATTTTGAAGACCTGTTGTCAGTTTCTTGCCAACAGCAACACCAACCCCTTACAGTGCTGTGCACATACATAGAGACTGTAACTTGAATTTGTTGACATGTAGGTCCATTACTCAGCCATAATATGTGCTGTGCACACTAGAAAACGATCTCTTTACTGATTAATATTATCAGTTCGATATCACGTTTTTGATTTTAATATGGCAAGAATGGCTGTTCCATTAGAAAATCGGTTAGGGTGAAGGATCCCCTGGGGTTAGGATAATTTTGAAGCAATGTTTAATAGTTAAATCATCCTAAATAATCGATCCATTGTCCCTGATTCAATAGCGATTGTTGCACCGAACATGATTATTTTGATCAGCAAAGGTATGCATAGCATGTAGCATGGCATATAGAACGGCCGAGAAATGGATCTAGATGTCAAAAATACAAGTTTTACACGGCATGTGTCTTTTGACGGTAGATGAGAAGATAACATTTAGAGCCAAGACGAACTCTCATTAGTAAACCCCCATCATTCAGTCTGGAAACTAAGTTAAGCACGATAATGTGCAATTAATAGTCTATTTAACCCGAGGAGCTAGTTCAAAATGGACTGCACACAGAGCATTGGTAATCAGCAGGATGTTTTTTTTGCCAAAAGGGAAGGTCAGGGTTCAGCTGTTTCAGGTTGTGCTATGGAGCCTGAAAGAAAGGCTTAGGCAACTAGTGTGGGTGTAAGCTATGGATGGTAGGAAGAGGCTGAAGGTGAAACATACGAGGTCCCAGCCTTTTATGGGATTTTGGTTTTCCGTATCTTTCGCCTTAATTGGTACATTAGTACACAATTCTTCTTTCAAAATTCATGCATGTCCTTCTGGCATGTCAATTACAAGAAACAGGACATGCAGGAATTATATTACTGTAGTAAATGAGAAATGCCATTGGCAACACAATTTCTTATAGACTTCTGGGCATATTCATATGACCGTGGTTGGCTAAGGGTTAATGCATTTATGCTTCTATCGTACATATTATAGCTGAACTTATGAATATGTTAACCAAAAAAATTTCTTTTTAAACACATTAGGTTTAAAAATGGCAAGTTATTAAAGTGGGGATTGATATGCCATAAAACACGAGTATGGGTTACACATAGCTATATAGTATAATTCAGAACCTTTCCTGTTATACTGACATACACAAAGTTCTAGTTGTGCTTCGACAAAAATTTCCCTACATCATTTTTTCTCAGATATAAGATAGCCACATTTAAAATACCTTCTTCCCAAAGAATGAATCAACTTTTGTTTCAGATTAACAACTTTTAAACAAACTGCGAGATCTTTCAAGGCTGGCTCTGACTCAGGAAAGTCCACAATTATCTCAAACAATTGTGATATTCTGCAAGAAAAAAATTGTGTTACTATGGAAGTGCAAATAATTTGAGATACGAGTACCCCAGATGATTCTTTTTAGAGAAAGAAAACTGCAACGTGCAATGTATTCTATAATCGAGAAAGTGTAGCGGTCTGACTATAGCAGCAAATCGAAGAAGGCTGTCGATTTTCGCCAGCATGTGAACTGTCATGTAAAGCAGAAAGTATGCAGAAACACCAAAACAACAGGCAAGTAACCTGGCGTAGGAAGGAAGCATAATTATTATGAGTTAGTATCTTGGTAGTACACTGGCAAACGAGTATTTCTATCCCCTACTGTTAGCCCGATCTCCCTCTACCCTTGGACAAGGCCCTAGTTCCTATGCCTGGGGAACAATATCTAGCTTAAACCCTACAACATTTTCTGGTCATAGGGCCTAGCTTTTCATTGCAGCTGAGCTGTTTTTCTATGTTCTAAGGGTATCTCATACTTTTGTGTCATATTGTGTTAATGTTTACACACAGATATGTACTGGGAGGAGAAAAAAAAACAGGACGATGACGAGAAAGATGAACACAAAGAGGATAAAAAGAAGACGAGGAGAAATGCCAAGGGAGTAGTGACTCTAGATGGTGCAGGCCCCTACCCCAAAGAGACACAGGATAAAGATCTTGAAGAATGTATAGGCTCTGGGCTCTATCTGTGTGTCAAGGGATTTATTGTCCAGAGCAAAATAACCCACAAAAATATTTTGGTTTCACTTTGGCCACATAGCTTGTGTGAGGCAACGTGGAGTATTGTGCAATAAGAAGAGTGCGGATGAAACCAACAGTGTAGAGTGTATTACTCAGAAAATTCAGAGGGGTAATCAATGCCAAGTAACCAATACAGAGCATCCATGTCACACATCCTTTGGCTGGGATGTCTGCAGAGTAAGTGCAAGACCACCTGTTTTGCAGAGCTTCACCAGTGACATGGACTAACAATTTTGTGTCACCGTCACTAGTCAACCAACCCCTTTGGTCACAAACTGTGACTGCTAGAGTTCATACCCACGACACTCTGCAGTCTAGGTGAGCGCTCTACCAACTGAGCTACCAGGGCAACTCAGCTGGTAGGGGTTCGAATCTACAACACGATACAACACAAGGCAAACCTCAAACCACTGTGCTATGGCACAGTATACTCTCTCTTGTAGTCCAACTTCAAACAACCCGGTGCTAGGAATATACGCTGTATTCTGAGCTGTGGGCTAAGGGCAGCACTTGTATCAGTATTGGACAGGAAGTCCTTATCACAACATCTAGCTCTAGGCTTAGTGCAAACTGTCTAGTACATTAGTACATTAGTGCAGGATGACACAGCAGAAATTCAGCATTGTGATTGGCTAGTTGGACAAATCAGGTGTCTTGGCACGTAGAGGAAATCTTCCTCGGCTGTTAACTATAAGGGCCTCGGGCTACGCCCTAGTCCGTTATAGTCAACAGCCTCGGAGTATCTCCTGTACCGCCTCGCCGCCTATACGTTAACTATTACTTAGCATGCTGTCTCTCACTTGGAGTGTACTGCATATTTCATACTAGAACTCACACCTTTTATGAGCAAAATACTTGTAACAGCATTGAATAACATGAACCTTCCATTTTTCAACCAGCAATGCGGAGTTCTCAGCCCCACCTATTAACAACAGATAACAAATCAAACCTTTTCAAGTTCAATCAACTCTATAGGCACTAAGTGAAAACCCACATCGCAAAGAACACACGGGCTTGATAACATTAATGTGAATATTACAATGTTCATTAATAAATTGGTGGGGCCATGCCACACAGTATAGCCCGTCAACGGAACCGGTTTCTTACCTCACACAGGCTAGCTGTATCAACCAGTGGCTAGCATTTAGAGCAACCCCGGCAAAGCCGTTTTTAGCAATATAATAGTTGCTAATAATTAGGACAGTGTCAAAATGCAGTTGCCGTCAGCTTTATGACACCCAGTACCCCAACAATTGGAGAACATGGCAATACACATACTTTAGAATAAAGAAAAACAATAATATGGGAACAATAGTACAGCATAATACTAAACTAAAACCCCAACAAAACAAACTTTTTAGAGTTGCCCATCAACAGATGGTGGGGTTGAAGGCCAAAAGCTAGCAATAGGGCGGACACCTGTCTCAAGAGGGGCCCAGAGAGTCAGAAATTATGACTCAGAGTTTCTGCAGAGCTGCAGGAACTGCTTACACCAATGAGATGGCTGGTAAGAACTTTACTCACTACATAACACAGGGAAAATGGCAGGAATTTGCTGAGAATCATGCAAAGGTTTTTGTAATTTTTGCAGGAAGACACTCATACAGAAGCAACCGCGGCAGCAAAATGTTGCGTTAATTGATGTTGGAGGAGATCAATATTGTCAAGTAGAGTAAATTTTTTCTTTGTTATTGGATGTAAGCACAGACAGCAGAAACACATAAATGCAAAAATTTATGGCTGTGACTTGCGATACCAAAAGCAGCGATGAAATGGTACATACTAAAACAGAGTATCTTTGTTTCCTCAGATCATCAGCTGGTACTGCCACTGGCTTGCTGGAATGTGTCAAGGATGCTCTTTATAACCATGGGATTACTGAGATCAGCACTGCACAGTGTACAAAGCTGATGGGGTTCGGTACAGGGTACAGACAGTACAGCTGCAAACACCTCTAAACAGCGTCTCAATGAAAAGGAGCTTAAGTGGGTATTTTGGATGTGGTGCCTGGCACAGACTTGAAATTGTAGTTTAAGACAGTTTAACAGGCACAGTTTTGACTCTATAGACGAAATGCTTTATGTGAAAAAATCATGCCTAAAATGTTGTGCTCTATTTGTTGACCTTCTTAACCCTTGCGCAACATTCTCAATGGGCATGCAGGCTGATGAGATTCATATATTGGGTGTACTTATGAGCTTATTGAGCTCTCTAAAAGTGATTGTGAAATTAACAGTTTGCCACTGTCCAAGCGGCCAAAATATACCATTACATTAGCAGCTATTTCCAACGCAAGTCATGGAAACCAGGTCCAAGGTTCTTCAAGGTTTGTACCAAACCTTGAAAGGCTTGAAGAAACGCAACATTCATGAGAGTCATACTCATGAATACAGCATCAACTTAAAACAATGCTTGATATCATGATTGGCTTGGTCTGACCAGCAGCTAGTGCGGGATATAATGTGTGTGTCAAGAAGATAACTGCAATGACTGTGATAGTAGTAGCTATAGAGGTTGCATTTTGGAGGTGTGTGTGGGAGTCAAGTGTTCACTACAACCCAGAGCTCTTGCCAGTCTTGTCTAAATTCATCTATTGGCAGGAGCAATAACTTCAAAATCTAGTGGTGCCTAACCGTGAGTTCCCGCAATTCCTTCAGTTCCACTGACGGCATTTTTATCTAACGTGTGGTACTCTAGTCAGATCCACTTCTCTTAATAGCCAAATGGTCAACGAGTGCAGTGCAGCTGTGCATGTTCATCAGAGATCCTTGACTATGAGTACAAACAGTTCTAATACCAAAAAGGTACTAACCTAAATTTTGTTCTTCAGTTTAGCATACAGTTGACTATAATTCTTTTCCCTCAATATGACACTTTGTAGTAGTGAAAAGATAAAAATGGAGCTTTCAAATAATAAACTAAATCATTGTAGAAGCACAATGCTTGTGGCACATCCTGATCAGAATTCAGCAGAGTAATTTCGTTCAGTACTATCGCCTCTAACTCTGACTTTTTCTCCACGGTCCGAAGCAAACTGTTTGCTGGCTGGGATTGCTATTACATATGGATGTGCTCGACGTGTTCTGCCGCATAAATCATTCCGTAATATTCACTGCCTCACTCCATTTTGGATTCTCAAAATTTTTGCACCTACACAGTGCATCCCCACCCGTAAGGCATATATATTATGCTTGAAATGTTGTCTCTAGGAACTCATGATTATGAATGAGGTGTATTTACCCCACAGCTGCATTATGTAGTAGGTGTTTTTTTGTCGTGCACAGTTGAATATCACTGCAGCATCATAATGGGCGGCTACTTCTGGGTTGTAAACCAAAAAATAATTCTCTCTTGTGTTTCCATTTGAGGTGCCACTTGAGTTGATATGGTAATTGCCATCTGTCCTGAAGAGCACAATGCACAGTAGCCACAGCTAGAGGCATGAGATTCCCTTGCTGGCTGCTGAAAGAGCCAATTTCGATAAATTTCCAATAATCTACTCCCCAACTATGAAGTCCATATACCACTGCTGCTTTTCTCCTGTTATCTTGGAGATGAAGAGCTATCTGAGCCTTAGCGAAAGATTTCCAGGTATGTCTTCTGAATTGCAGTGGATCACACCTGCATCTTTCAGTCCAAATATCAGGTTCATGGAGGTTGTTACTGGCTACAGAATGGAAAAGCTACTGTCCTTTAGTTGTTGATACTACTACCCAGGTGTTCTTTAATAGAGGTTTTGTGCTGAACAGATGTTTCATTGTCTGGAAGTATTCGTAGTAAATGACGATAAACATACTGTACCATCTGCTTCAGGTTCATCTTTTTCAATCCCTCATTGATGTTAGCTTCATAACACAAGATCAGAACACAGAGACCACACAAAGCATGTCCATTTCCTTCTCTGATGGGTCAATCTCCCATTGGTCATCTTCCTGCTCACGATGACAACTTTTACGAACAATACAAATTGGTCTATGTGAGTCACAATCACATCAGAACATAGACGTAGACCCAAACTAATGGGAGTAATGACTCCCATTCCATTAAGCAGTACTTGGGAATTGTGCACATGAATTAGAACGGTCATCAGAGCATATGGCAAAAGAATCCAATTTTACTTTTGTTGAAAAACTGAATTTATGAAACGGTTGGTTTGGGTTTGTTCCATAGCTAGGGGGGAATGTGTGAAGACACCCTGTGTTCATGTTTTCGCAGGTTAGCTACAGCAACTTCACTGGTTGATGTCCAAATCCTGATGGCACATTTTTTTCCTCACACTCTCCTTGACAGTGTGTGATTTGCTGGTGTACAGATCTCACCCTTAACCAGAAAGTCGAGATCGTTCAACTAGTTCAGAAGAAAAACCTGTCACAAATTAAGATCGCAAAGCGTTCGAATGTTCTCAGTCAGCCGTCTCCAAAATTGATAAGAACAAAGACGCCATTTTGGGGGAAGTGGACGTTAACAAACCCCATTCTCGAAAGCGAAAGTGATCCGGCAAGGCCAAGTATGTTGAAGGAGCTCTATAAGTGGTTCGTTGATGCTCGAATGAGAGACGCGCCGGTTAAAAGTGCAGTTAAGGAAGATAAAGACAATCACTTAGCTTAGGTGGAGCATACTCCCAATGGAATAACTCTGGGAGAGTTCCAAGCATTTGTAGACCTGGACTCTTCCTAGAATGTCACGGTCTTCTTACAGATGAAGAGATCTGCTCTTCTGTTTGCCAGCCAGAGTCAGAGCTTCAGTCACAGAGCGATAATGAGGGAGAGGAGAGAGATGATGGAGTGACTACTCCAGCTAGAATGCCCAAGCCCGGAGAAGTACGTACAACAGGCCATGGACTTTTTAGAGCTAAATGCTGCTGAACTAAGCAACTTCTACACCAACACTGCCATGCAAGTATCTATACATGACTTCCTCTCACTTCCTCTCACTTCGTTTCTGGAATACTGACTTAATTAGCTATACAAACTATGCTATTGTGTGAAATGACCCTTGAGTAGGTTGTAAACCGTGTTTCTAAACATTCCCAGTTTATAGAAAATCCCGGATATTGTCATAAATTTTGCGTGCACCGGGGGTATGACAATAAGCAGGATCCACTGTATTATCAACACCATGTATTATTCTCGGCTGTCTAGTAGTAGAAGACCCATCATTACAGTACCCCATAAGACAGGGTGAACCACAAGTGATGCACCGGGAAAGGGCGTCGTTAGTAGGCAGTGGCAGGGAGTGCAGAGTTGTAAACTAAGTTTTGCTGTGACAATACAGCAAAACATTAGAGTATTGATGCTATTCACACTAACCACCATCAATTATAAATTTCTCAATGAGTACAATGAAGTGCTGCTGCATTCTTTGCGATAACTAGCTGGGGCTAAGAAATATGATCCAAACAACACTTACCACATTTTTCTCACACGTATTGGCACATGGCTGTACCCGCGCCGCACGCGTAGTCATCACCGTGCAATCGCACGTGTGCGTATAGCCTCGTTCCCGGTCCATTTTTTGGTGGGGAGGAAAAACGGCGCGGTACAATCTGTTACCTCCCATCCCCAGAAAGTCAGGGATACTGGACATCTTTGAATGTTATTTTAACATTTTCCCCGTGGTATGTTTGTATATGTCATCCTTAGCCGCCTACCAGTGCGTTTAGCGCGGTTGCAAAACCATCGATGCAGTGTTTCTGGGCGCCGACGAAGCCCTTATGCGCATCAGAACATGACTGTAGGCCACTAGAGAAGGGTTTCATGCGAGGTTTTCACCTCAAAGTTGAGGCAGACCCATCAACACAGCCTTGTGAATGGCTGCAGACAAGGTAAGCATGCTTTACAAACTGAAATACATCTTTCGGTATACATTTGCCATGTTTTTAGCTCAACAACAGGCTTGGGAAACTTTCTCTGGAGACCTATGTGAAATGGGATATTTTACGGAGTATCTGGCACATGTGAGAATAGATTGTACCAGGCCCTTTTCCAAACATAGGGGGCCTCGGAACGAGGCTAGTGCGCGTCCTGCGTATGAATTATCTGCGCATGCATAATAACCCCATGCGCAGCGCCTACTGCCGACAGCCGCGTGTGGTGGTGGTCTTTGTGCATGCGTGTGCGTAAGTTAGGGCCATTGAGCAAGCGCATTACGCAATTTTTTCATGTGTGAACAGGTCAACACGTGGAAACAACGTGTCTGATGGCTTCTATGTGCGGTGTGCACGAAGGGATCGAGTTAGAAGTATTGAGTTTTGAATGTACTTCACCTCTGCATAGTTCTCAAAGTGTATATTGACCGTCCACGCAACACAAAACGTTGAATCCCATGCTGTAGCGGCGCCGACAAGCGTGCGTGAACGGGCGCGGGACAAGCTAAGTCCTTTCTTTGAAGCTTCACCATACAACCGCGCAATAGTGCGGCTGTGGGAGGTGTGAAAGACGGGGTATGGTAGTGTGGGCGGTCATGTACTTGCACTTAGAATACAGAATGCAGCTTCTTAGCCCCACACCTCATTCTACGTCATTGATAACTCTCCAAAAGTTGGCACAATATATAAAAATTTAAATAAATCCCAAGGGTGATTTCTCCATTGAACTGGAGTCGCTCGCTGAAGCTGATGCCAACAATGCCAATACTTAGCTTATGCGACAAGGGCAGAAGATGGAAAGAGAAGGGGGGGGGTGGGTCTGGCGATGACCGAAGTGGAGTTTGCATCATTTCCCCCCTTAAAGTCAGGCGCAAATGCCAATTAGGAAAGCTGCAAGTGTGATTGGTCGGCTATGATATGGTAAAAGTATGGGTGATGGGTAAAGCACTTAAATAAAAAAATTCTTCCAATTAAAAGTGTGGAATATAGGGATGCCATAAAAAGTAAGGAGACAAGACAGGGATGACCTAGTTCACATGATGCAGTAGTACAATGGATGACGGCTACATACTTTGAACTGATATCGTTTGCTGGTGTAAAATTTCTTCCACACAAGTTGTCGCCACTCTTACTCACGACATGAGTTTTGAATAATGTAGTGCGCAGAGAAAGCAGCATTGTAAAACTGGTTCGTTGAGCAAACATTGAAGTAAATACAGTCACGATTCAAAACTGAGGACCTGTCAGAGGGCATTAGCTAATTGCATTGGAAATGAGTCATAGCTGCATATCATAGAGATCACTTGCGCTTTGCGACAATATACGTAGGGCTTGCATGGAGGAAATTTTACACGAGCGAGCGATGTCAGTTCAAAGTATGTAGCCATCATCCATTGTACTACTGCATCATGTTCACTAGGTCATCCCTGTCTTGCCTCCTATGGCATCCCTATATTCCACTTCTTTTTTTTTTATTGCATTCACATACATGGTGTGCAATAAAAGGGGATATTTTTAGGCATAAGCCCATAAAAAAAAGTGGCCTTTTAAGCTATCGCCTCAGACATTTTGTCGTCATTCACATTACGTCAGTGAACCAAGTTTGATTGTGAGAGGACCCATCATAAGCAACTTCTAGGCACTGACACCATTCAAAAGTCTTTTTTGTTTGTTGTTGTTTACAACCTTGTAATTTTCTGTTTCGATCAACTGTTTATCGTGGTGAATCAGTGCACCAAGTTTCATTGTTAGAGGATAAGCACAAACACCATTTACAAGTTTTTATTGCCTGAGGCTGTTTGTTGTTTACAATCTTGTAATTTCTGTTTCGATGAACTCTCATCACATCAGTGTACCAAGTTTTATTGTTAGAGAATCCACCATAAGCAAGTTAGAGGCACAAACACCATTTACAAATATTTATGGCCTGTGGCTGTTTGTTGTTGTTTACAAACTTGTAATTTCAGTTTCAATAAACTCTCATCATGGTACATCATCAGTGTTCCAAGTGACATTGTTATAGGACCCATCATAAGCAAGTTATATATATGCACAAACACATTTCACAAGTTTTAATTGCCTGAGGCTGTTTGTTATTGCTTACAAACTTGTAATTTCAGTTTCGATAAACTCTCACCATGGTACATCAGTGTACTAAGTTTCATTGTTAGAGGACCCACAATAAGCAAGTTATAGGCACAAACATCATTTACAAGTATTCATTGCCTGAGGCTGTTTGTTGTTGTTTACTAACTTGTAATTTCTGTTTCGATGACCTCTTATCATGGAACATCAGTGTACCAATTTTCATTGTTAGAGGTGCAACCATAAGCAAGTTATAGGCAATAATATAGTTTACAAGTTTGTATTGCCTGAGGCTGTTTGTTGTTGTTTAAAAACTTGTAGTTTCCGTTTCGATGAACTCTCATTGTTAGAGGACCCACTATAAGCAAGTTATAGGCACAAACACATTTTACAGGTTTTTATTGCCTGAGGCTGTTTGTTGCTGTTTACAAACTTGTAATGACATTTTGATACTAATGATGGGTTACATGTGTGTACAAAGTTTTATCACTCAGGGTATTAGCTTTACCAAGTTAGCACACTTTATTGGTCCATATCATAATGTATTGCCTGGGGCTAATTTTTGTTGTTTACATGTAAACAGAATTGTTAACGACGAAAAAAATGCTCTTGCACGACCTGTCATGGATTCCGATCTCTGGGCAACGTTTCATCTCCATATCTTAATAGGGTTTTCAGTTTTACCTAGTTTTTGAGATACGCGTGTCTAAACTGAACAACAAAAACAAGAATAATTTTGAAAACTAACTTCCTTGAATAAATGAAGCACCGATTATGCGATTTAAGATGCTCTTTGTGAGCATACGGATCAGTCTGATGTGTCAAAACTGAAAGTGAAACATGAAAATCTCAAATGTATGGGGATAATGCAGGATGACCTGCGTCATCCCTATTATACTAAGTACTTAGTGATACCATGTGCAGAAAATGCCAAACACATGCACGCAGAGGTACCTTATACTGCTAGACACATGTTTTGTGCTAACAGTAAGCATGTTTGTGCTACAATTTAGAGTGATGATGATGGATGTCAAATTTAACAGAGCAATCCACTATGGTGATTCATCACTCCTTGGCAACATTTGTAATGTTCCATCAAGTGATATGTTGCCAGCAATCAAATGCAACTATCACAGTAATCATTCCATACTTGGCACAGTGGATGGCACAGGTCAAATCTCATGTGATCTGCGTACAAAACGCCTCAAAACTCGGCAGTTCTCAATGCGAGAAATTGCACATATGCAAATTCGTCTCCAGGTTCAACAGATGTGTGCACGGCCATCAAGCGACCGTTTCTTTCTAGCTGCAAGTCCCTATGGCTGATCGTGGAGCTTTTCCACGGTAGACACTGCACGCCATTTTCAGAAGCTCGAAGTGTGCAGTCGATGGGGGTGTTGCCCTGATGTAGACCTGTCATATGTTGAGTACGTCTGACCCTTGGACGGTGTGAATATGTTTGCTGTATTATGTTTAGAAGATCGCTCGGATATTCTTCTTTCTTCACATAATGAAATCGTTTCACAATATTAGTAAGTATGTTTTCATATAAAGGCCTATAAAATCGGAGAAAAATATCAGAAATAACAGGCAGCTGCGCTATTTATTGACGCCCACTGAACCTAACCTTTGAGCGCATGCGCAAAATGCGTGGGTCAATTGCAATCGCCATGCCACGGCTGTTTCACGTAGGACATTTAACGCTAATTTAGAACATTACGGTATTACCGTTACCTAAGTTACGGGGCTCGTGCAAGATTCGGAAGTTAGTCGCGGTTTCGTGAAGGAAGCTTGGGGCCTTCGTTGGGCCGCAAAGCTTCCTTTGTTACATTCCACACAATCTCAGATAGCCAGAGTGGTCTCTCTAGAAACCATAACACAGAACGGCGCAGCGCCCCGACACTGTTACCGCATAAGTTAGTGCGGACTAGAACCAGCTTCGCATTTTTTGGAGAAAGAAACATCAATCCAAAAAATATACATAAATTACAGGAACATGACGGATTCTGAAGGGCATGAATGCCATTACACTCAACTTCCCAAACACTGTCGTGTGTGTGGGAAGCACTGCAGTAGTAAGGAGAGCAAGCACAGTGTTAGAGCACACACATCAGATCTTCTGGCTGTCTAGCTGAGAGAGATGATCCTGCGATTCACCCGCCAGAATTCTGCCATGCTTAAGTACACTTACATACTTAAGCTGCTACATGTCAGCATGGGCTGGCTACATCAGTAGGTTAACAATGGTAGATCCTTGCTCACCCTGTGCACATTCTGATGTCTGAATGGTGTGAGGGAGGAACAGGATATTAACATTTTCTTACACGGCAGGCTGTGCCTCAGCAGGTCACCTGCAATGCCTTTCTACGCAGTCTCGTCCCATGCAAGGTGTAGATGTGGAAGACGTACGCATACCGTACACATGCACGGCACTCACTGTTAATTGGTGGGCTGGTCCAATTTATCGCTTTTTGGCTGTCTTGTTGCGTGTAGCGGGAGAAAACGTGGTAACAGACAGACGGACGGACAGACGGAATGACAAACCAAGTACTATAACCCTCGCTGCGCATGCACGCCGAGGGTTAATGAAGAGAGAGATGCCAATGGGGACCCCAACAATGTCCGGGACACATATTTGGAACAAACACTCCAGAAAACTGTGCAGTAAGGAAATAAAACCAAGTATACACAGTATTTATGTACACAAAAACCTGTTCTAAAATAGACATGCGGCCACTTCCGTGTGTCACGACAGGTCGGCAGACCGAGAAAGAGGAGCAGTGAGGGTTGCCTGGGGCCACGGCAAAGATTGGTGAAGACCATTTCCCAACTTGGTCCACCGCCAACCGTCCTCCCACCTCACACTTGGTGACGTTGAGTGTCCACTGTGTTTGGAGGTATTAGTCAGACCTCTGCAACTCCCATGTGGAGCACACTGCTGCACATCATGTGTCTGTGCATGGGTACAACATACATGTACCATCACACTGGATCCTCTTCCACGTCCTTGCTGCATCCAATCACATGCCTTGGAGTCTTGGACACCACCCAGATAATGGCTGCTCCATCTGTGCTGCTGAAGCTCCTCGAGTCACTCCTGGTCTGCTGCAGGAGGTGTGGGAAGAAAGTAGTTGGAGCAGCAAGTGGGGTGGAGTTGGATTCGGGGTAATGGGCGAGCAAGGGGCAGTCAACAAGATAGAGCAAAGGCACCGAAACCAACGCCACGACCGCGTGGAGAGGCTAAGACGGGTAGTTACAGAGCACCTTCTGAAAAGCCTACCCAGTCATGTCGCCGCACAACCCCCTACAAAGCGCAGGAAGATCGCCGAAGATTGACAGCACATTAGCTACGTTATCAAACTTGAATTGCGTATCATAAAAACCAAGATCTTTTTTGCTCTGCACGCATAAGAAAAAATGCGAAGTAGAATAACTTCAGGTCCCTGGGCATGGTACATCCTTTGGCCTTGTTTATGGCGCAAATCTGTTTCTGAGAAAATTCACAGTGAACAGTAAGACCGCTTGAGTCAACCATACTACTTGGGAACGTAAAGGCCGTCCACGTTCGGCGGATTTTGGACGAAAACGCTCAGAAAAG